TCATTTGATTTTTGTTTTGACATTAGTAAATATATCATGAACTTTTTCAAGAAAAATGTTTTTAACATTAGTGAGTAAGATTTTTCCTCTTCATTTTGATCCTCTTTGGAATTTGCTCATTTAGAACCGATGTTTACAAAATAATCACTAAATTAATTTCACCCTAACCCGGTTTTGTTATGAATGATATGAACAATATTCTATAATTTGGGATTTTAGAATTTTGAATTTGTTGAGTTAATGGTGCAGAAGTTCTATTGCAGGAGAAAAAGGTGATCCTTCCTCGTACGACGTCTCTCCTGGAGACCCAGGTCTGAAAGGATCCAAGGGCCTGAGAGGCAGTCCAGGACCTGAAGGTAAGTCCAGACCAGAGCCCAGACCAGAGCTCAGATCAGACCCAGACCAGACCCAGACCAGAGACTAGAGACCGGACCAGAGGGTCTTGGGGTGCTGTCGGTGCACGGGGTCTGGGTTGGTTTTGTTGGTCTTGATGGTTTTGGTTGGTTTTAGCTTCAGTCGCACTCTGATCTGCACTAAATCAAAAGGACCAAGACACAAAAAAGACGCGATCTTGGTCGGCACCAAATGCCAAACTCTAGTCCCTCTGGTAAGACGCCAAATTGGGTCCAAACCAGAGACAGTTGGTCCAAACAAACTATTCCAGGGGACACGCGTCTCCTCTGAAACAACGCGACTCCAGGGCAGTGACAGATCGTTCTCCAGACGCAGCTGTGACTCATTTATGAATTATTTTGCCAACAATGGCCAGTACAGAGAATGTAACACATGAAAATCAGAGAAAGAACCAACGTGTGAACGTGTCGCTCCATCGTGAGTCAAGACTGGAGGTGTTTATCTTTGTTCCTCGGGCTCAGATGATCTGGAGTAGGGAGTGGTTTTTGGTATTTTGGCCTGAGAAGAACTTTCCCCGGAAGAACCAAGAGCACGAAGGACGAACGCTCAGAACAACATAAAACCAACCAAACTGGACTCACTCTTCAGTCCGGACGCTGCACCACCTCAGAACCAGCCGCAGTCCTCGAGCGCGGAGACCGGAGCCGCCCGCCCAGACCTTTAGTCCACAGCACATTCGCGCTTTCCTCGCATGGATCCAGTGGGCAGACGACGGCACGATACCTCTTGGACCCAGACCAGTGGACTGGTCTTACTCATCCCTGTCTGGAACCAGCACATGGAGGACGGAGCCTCCGGACCCACGCCGGACCCCAGGGCCCGTCCTGACGGGCTGAACCCGGCAGTGAGCCCCCCGTGTCTTTACCGCTGTTTCCCTCAGAGCTTCAGCTCCGAGCTGATGTCAGTTTGCAGTTCTTTTTTATGAGTTCATGGTGAAAACCTGAGATGAGGACGGCCCGCGGTGTTAACGGAGAACATCAGAACCTTTGGAAATTGGAGGTACCGATGTTTCCCGGGGGAACATCAGGCTGACCCAAAATAGGCGTTTATTTCTACCGGACATTGATGAAACTTCAGTGGGACCAAGTTTGGTTGGTTTGGTGTGAAACGACCAAACTGGAGTCTGTGACTCAAGAACGATTTTACTGCCTGGTGCGGAACAAATAATCAGACTATTGGAGTGAAAACCCTGAAGTCTCCTAAAGTCTCCTAAAGTCTCCTGAAGTCTCCTGAAGTCTCCTAAAGTCTCCTGAAGTCTCCTGAAGTCTCCTAAAGTCTCCTGAAGTCTCCTGAAGTCTCCTGAAGTCTCCTAAAGTCTCTTGAAGTCCTCAGACTGGTTCTCTTCCAGGTCTGGCTGGATTCCCGGGAAGACCAGGACCCCCAGGACCCAAAGGACTGAAGGGAGACTCGGGCTTCTCCATCCAGGGATCCCCAGGATTCCCCGGGGTCAAAGGTCAGTCCTGTAGTATGATGTACAATCTGTAGTAGTAGTAGTAGTAGTAGTAGTAGTTGTAGTAGTAGTACTGCAGTACTGTAGTACTGTAGTTCTTCTATCATGCTGGTGATGTTTGTGTCTCAGGGGACAGGGGTGACCCCGGTGATCCCGGTCTGCCCAGTTTTGGGGTCAAAGGTCGAGACGGACCTTCGGGACCTCCAGGCCCCCCTGGGACCAAGGTAAAGTCCAGGATCTGACCTGGATCCAACCCAGATCTAAATGTGTCTCTTTGTGTTTTTTGGCCCCGTGTCCATCTCAGGGCGACCGCGGCTTCGGGTTTCCAGGGACCCAGGGACGGAGAGGCCCCCAGGGAGAGGAGGGGTCTGTGGGGCCCCAGGGCAACCGCGGGGCCCCTGGTCGAACTGGAGAACCGGGACGTCCAGGAGAGAGAGGGGCAACCGGAGCCAAAGGTACAGGACTGAACCAGGACTGAACCAGTACTGGACCAGGACTGGACCAGGACTAGACTTCACTGTGAGTCTTTTTAGGGACCCTTGGGCCTTTTGGACCCCCTGGACCTCCGGGGTTTGTGGGTTGGTGTCTCCCAGGACCTCCTGGACCTCCAGGAAAACCAGGACTCACCGGGACTGTGGGGTTCCCAGGTATAGTTCAACAATATACTGACCTCTGACCCCTGACCCCGAGTCTGACCCCTGACCCTGAGTCTGACCCCTGACCCCGAGTCTGACCCCTGACCCCGAGTCTGACCCCTGACCCCTGACACTGAGTCTGACCCCTGACCTTGACCTTTGACCTCTTGACTGTCTCAGGTATGAAGGGACCAAAAGGGGCTCAGGGGGACATGGGGCCCCCGGGCATGGGAAACCTGGGGCCCCCTGGTCCTTATGGGACCCCCGGCTTTGACGGAGACCCGGGGCCTGCGGGGGCCGTGGGGAGGAAGGGCCAATCAGGGGCCCCGGGAGCAGCCGGAGGGACAGGTAACAGCCAATCAGAACAGAGCTCGTTCTCCCCTGTGATTGGTCCTTCAATTTGTCTTTGATCTTCAGGGGCCAGAGGAGACTCGGGGCCCCCGGGACCTGCCGGGCCCCCAGGACCTCAGGGAGATCCAGGACCAGCGGGACCGGCCGGACCCGCAGGTAAACGGCCCCAGAGTTTAATCTTTTTGAGCTTTATTTAAACTGGTCTCCTGTGCAGTCGAGTCATGACCTGGAATAAACCGGCGCTCTGTTTCACTCTGTTTCAGGAGAGACGGGGCCCTCAGGGGCCCCAGGACCCCGGGGACCCAGAGGGCCTCAGGGAAATCCGGGATTCCCCGGCCCCCCAGGACAAAAAACAATGATCCAAGTTTTGGGAGAAGACGGTTCCCCAGGAGCCCCAGGTCTGATCGTCCCCGTGTCCCTCTGTCTCTGTCCCTCTGTCCCCGTGTCCCCATGTCCCCGTGTCCTTCTGTCCCTCTGTCTCTGTCTCTGTGTCTCTCACCCTTTGCCCTTTGACCTTTGACCCTGTAGGACCCCTGGGGGCCCCTGGGGAGCGAGGACAGGTCGGTGTGTTTGGACTCACAGGTGTTCCGGGTCGAGACAGCTCCTCAGGACCAGCCGGAGCTCCAGGTGAGGATCGGGTCTGGACTCGGGTCTGGACTCGGGTCAGGACTCGGGTCTGGACTCGGGTCAGGACTCGGGTCAGGGCTCGGGTCAGGACTCGGGTCTGGACCGGGTCTGGACTCGGGTCTGGACTCGGGTCTGGACTCGGGTCTGGATTCGGGTCTGGATTCTGTGTGGACCTTGCAGGGGCCGCGGGGCAGCAGGGGCCTCAGGGAGGGAGCGGTCTGCCTGGAGCCTGTGGACCCCCAGGAGAGTTAGGACCAATGGGAGTGCCAGGTACAACCATGTGACAGGTGTGACAGGTGTGACGGGTGTGACGGGTGTGACAGGTGGTGACAGGGTGTGACAGGTGTGACAGGTGTGACAGGGTGTGACAGAGGTGTGACAGGTGTGACAGGGTGTGACAGGGTGTGACAGGGTGTGACAGGGTGTGACAGGTGTGTGTGACGGGTGTGTGACAGAGGTGACAGGGTGTGACAGGTGTGACAGGGTGTGACGGGTGTGACGGGTGTGACAGGGTGTGACAGGGTGTGACAGGTGTGACAGGTGTGACAGGGTGTGACAGGGTGTGACAGGTGTGACGGGTGTGACAGAGGTGACAGGGTGTGACGGGTGTGACAGGTGTGACAGAGGTGACAGGTTTGACAGGGTGTGACGGGTGTGACAGAGGTGACAGGGTGACGGGTGTGACGGGTGTGACAGGTGTGACAGAGGTGACAGGTGTGACAGGTGTGACAGGTGTGACAGGGTGTGACAGGTGTGACAGGTGTGTGACAGGTGTGACAGGTGTGACAGGTGTGACAGGTGTGACAGGTGTGACAGGGTGTGACAGGGTGTGACAGGTGTGACAGGGTGACAGGTGTGACAGGGTGTGACAGGGTGTGACAGGGTGACAGGTGTGACAGGTGTGACAGGGTGTGACACAGGTGTGACAGGTGTGACAGAGGTGACAGGTGTGACAGGGTGTGACAGGTGTGACAGGGTGTGACAGGGTGTGACAGGGGTGACAGGGTGTGACAGGTGTGACAGGGGGTGTGACAGGTGTGACAGGGTGTGACAGGGTGTGACGGGTGTGACAGAGGTGACAGGTGTGACAGGTGTGACAGGTGTGACAGGTGACAGGTGTGACAGGTGTGACAGGTGTGACAGGGTGTGACAGGGTGTGACAGGTTTGACAGGGTGTGACGGGTGTGACGGGTGTGACAGGGTGACAGGTGTGACAGGGTGTGACAGGGGTGACAGGGTGTGACAGGTGTGACAGGGGGTGACAGGTGTGACAGGTGTGACAGAGGTGACAGGTGTGACAGGTGTGACAGGTGTGACGGGTGTGACAGGGGGGTGACAGGTGTGACAGGTGTGACAGGGTGTGACAGGGTGTGACAGGTGTGACAGGTGTGACAGAGGTGACAGGTGTGACAGGTGTGACAGGGTGTGACAGGTGTGACAGGTGTGACAGGGGTGACAGGTGTGACAGGGTGTGACAGGTGTGACAGGGTGACAGGGTGTGACAGGTGTGACAGGTGTGTGACAGGTGTGACAGGTGTGACAGGGTGACAGGGTGTGACAGGTGTGACAGGTGTGACAGGGTGTGACAGGGTGTGACAGGGGTGACAGGGTGTGACAGGTGTGACAGGGGGTGACAGGTGTGACAGGTGTGACAGGGTGTGACGGGTGTGACAGAGGTGACAGGTGTGACAGGTGTGACAGAGGTGACAGGTGGTGACAGGGGTGTGACGGGTGTGACGGGTGTGACAGGTGTGACAGGTTTGACAGGGTGTGACGGGTGTGACGGGTGTGACAGAGGTGACAGGTGTGACAGGGGTGACAGGGGTGACAGGGTGTGACAGGTGTGACAGGTGACAGGGGTGACAGGTGTGACAGGGTGTGACAGGTGTGACAGGGGGTGACAGGTGTGACAGGTTGACAGGGTGTGACAGGGTGTGTGACGGGTGTGACAGAGGTGACAGGGTGTGACAGGGTGTGACAGGTGGTGACAGGGTGTGACAGGTGTGACAGGGGGTGACAGGTGTGACAGGTGTGACAGGGTGTGACAGGTGTGACAGGTGTGACAGGGTGTGACAGGTGTGACAGGTGTGTGACAGGTGTGTGACAGGTGTGACAGGGTGTGACAGGGGTGACAGGGGTGACAGGGTGTGACAGGTGTGACAGGGTGGTGACAGGTGTGACAGGTGTGACAGGGTGTGACGGGTGTGACGGGTGTGACAGAGGTGACAGGTGTGACAGGTGTGACAGGTGTGACAGGTGTGACAGGGTGTGACAGGGGTGACAGGGGTGACAGGGTGTGACAGGTGTGACAGGGGGTGACAGGTGTGACAGGTGTGACAGGTAAACACTGTGTGCAGGTTGTAAAGGGGACACAGGGGCCCCGGGGCCACATGGACTCCCAGGCTCGGCCGGGCCCCCGGGGCCCCCAGGAGCCAAAGGTCCAAAAGGAGAATCGAGCTCAGACGGACATGGCCCCAAAGGGCCCAAAGGAGAACAGGTACTGACCCTTTACAAACATTAAACCCAAGGGCCACCTCCTGACCCCGACTCTCTCCCTCAGGGCACAGCCGGACCCCCGGGGGCCCCGGGGCCCTCAGGGGCCGCGGGGGACAGAGGAGCCGACGGGGCCCCGGGAGCGTGTGGCCCCTGTGGAGACCCAGGGCCCGTGGGACTCAAAGGCTTCAGAGGTACGAGGCCCTAAACCCCAGACTACACAGAGGTACTCTCATGTAAAGGCCTACAGGGGGCGCTCTGTCTACAGGGGGCGCTCTGTCTACAGGGGGCGCTCTGTCTACAGGGGGCGCTCTGTCACAGGGGGCGCTCTGTCTACAGGGGGCGCTCTGTCTACAGGGGGCGCTCTGTCTACAGGGGGCGCTCTGTCTACAGGGGCGCTCTCTACAGGGGCTCTGTCTACAGGGGGCGCTCTGTCTACAGGGGGCGCTCTCCTACAGGGGGCGCTCTGTCTACAGGGGGCGCTCTCCTACAGGGGGTGCTCAGGGGCGCTCTCCTACAGGGGGTGCTCTCACTCTGGGCAGTGACAGGTGCGCTGTGTTTCAGGGGCCCCGGGGTTACCTGGAGACTGGGGCTTTGACGGGCCCCAAGGGGCCAATGGACTCCGAGGCTTCAGTGGACTCCCAGGTAATGTGCTCCTGTCAGCTCCTGTCTGCTCCTGTCAGCTCCTGTCAGCTCCTGTCTGCTCCTGTCACATAAATATACTTTCAGGATCTAAAGGAGCTCCTGGAGACTCAGGTCCTTCAGGTCCTCGAGGAAATCAGGGTCAGGACGGGATCCCCGGACCTGCTGGAGAGAAAGGCATCATGGGAGGTACGAGTACTGGAGTACTGTAGTACTTGTAGTACTTGTAGAACTGTAGTACTTGTAGTACTTGTAGTACTGTAGTACTTGTAGTACTTGTAGTATTTGTAGTACTTGTAGTACTTGTAGTACTTGTAGTATTTGTAGTATTTGTAGTACTTGTAGTATTTGTAGTACTTGTAGTATTTGTAGAACTTGTAGTATTTGTAGTATTTGTAGTACTTGTAGTATTTGTAGTATTTGTAGTATTTGTAGTACTTGTAGTATTTGCAGTACTTGTAGTACTTGTAGTACTGTAGTACTGTAGTACTTGTAGTATTTGTAGTACTTGTAGTATTTGTAGTACTTGTAGTACTTGTAGTACTGTAGTACTGCAGTACTTGTAGTATTTGTAGTACTTGTAGTACTTGTAGTATTTGTAGTACTTGTAGTACTTGTAGTATTTGTAGTATTTGTACTTGTAGTACTTGTCGTATTTGTAGTATTTGTAGTACTTGTAATACTGTAGTACTTGTAGTATTTGTAGTACTTGTAGTACTTGTAGTATTTGTAGTACTGTAGTACTGCAGTACTTGTAGTATTTGTAGTACTTGTAGTACTTGTAGTATTTGTAGTACTTGTAGTACTTGTAGTATTTGTAGTACTTGTAGTACTTGTAGTATTTGTAGTATTTGTACTTGTAGTACTTGTCGTATTTGTAGTATTTGTAGTACTTGTAATACTGTAGTACTTGTAGTATTTGTAGTACTTGTAGTACTTGTAGTATTTGTAGTACTGTAGTACTTGTAGTATTTGTAGTACTGTAGTACTTGTAGTATTTGTAGTACTTGTAGTACTTGTCATATTTGTAATATTTGTAGTACTTGTAGTACTGTAGTACTTGTAGTATTTGTAGTACTTGTCGTATTTGTAGTACTTGTAGTACTTGTAGTACTTGTATTAATTGTAGTACTTGTCGTATTTGTCGTATTTGTAGTACTTGTAGTACTTCTAGTATTTGTAGTACTTGTAGTACTTGTAGTACTTGTCGTATTTGTAGTATTTGTAGTACTTGTAATACTGTAGTACTTGTAGTATTTGTAGTACTTGTCGTATTTGTAGTACTTGTAGTACTTGTAGTACTTGTAGTAATTGTAGTACTTGTCGTATTTGTAGTACTTGTAGTACTTGTAGTACTTGTCGTATTTGTAGTACTTGTAGTACTTCTAGTATTTGTAGTACTTGTAGTACTTGTAGTACTTGTCGTATTTGTAGTACTTGTAATACTGTAGTACTTGTAGTATTTGTAGTACTTGTATTTGTAGTACTTGTCGTATTTGTAGTACTTGTAATACTGTAGTACTTGTAGTACTTGTAGTACTTGTATTTGTAGTACTTGTCGTATTTGTAGTACTTGTAGTACTTGTAGTACTTGTCGTATTTGTAGTACTTGTCGTATTTGTAGTACTTGTAGTACTTGTCGTATTTGTAGTACTTGTCGTATTTGTAGTACTTGTAGTATTTGTAGTACTTGTAGTACTTGTATTTGTAGTACTTGTCGTATTTGTAGTACTTGTAGTACTTGTAGTACTTGTAGTACTTGTCGTATTTGTAGTACTTGTCGTATTTGTAGTACTTGTAGTACTTGTCGTATTTGTAGTACTTGTCGTATTTGTAGTACTTGTAGTACTTGTAGTACTTGTCGTATTTGTAGTACTTGTCGTATTTGTAGTACCTGTAGTACTTGTAGTACTTGTAGTACTTGTCGTATTGATTCAGCTTCTGAACTTTGTTCTAAACTTTGGTTCAGATCCAGGACTCGGACCTCGAGGACCAGAGGGACCCAAAGGAAGTCCAGGTGAGTCCTGTCCCCCTGTCCCCCTGTCCCCCCTGTCCCCCCTCCGTCCCCCTGTCCCCTGTCCCCCTGTCCCCCCTGTCCCCCCCCTGTCCTCCCCCTGTCCCCCCCCTGTCCCCCCCCTGTCCCCCTGTCCCCCCCCTGTCCTGTCCCCCCCTGTCCCCCCTGTCCCCCTGTCCCCCTGTCCCCCCCTGTCCCCCTGTCCTCCCCCTGTCCCCCCCCCCCTGTCCCCCCTGTCCTCCCCCTGTCCCCCCCCTGTCCCCCCTGTCCCCTGTCCCCCCTGTCCCCCTGTCCCCCTGTCCTCCCCCTGTCCCCCCCCCTGTCCCCCTGTCCCCCTGTCCCTGTCCCCCTGTCCCCCCCCCTGTCCCCCCCCCCTGTCCCCCCCTGTCCCCCTGTCCCCCCCTGTCCCCCCCCCTGTCCCCCCCCTGTCCCCCCTGTCCCCCTGTCCCCCTGTCCCCTGTCCCCTGTCCTGTCCCCTGTCCTCCCCCTGTCCCCCCCCTGTCCCCCTGTCCCCCTGTCCCCCTGTCCCCCTGTCCCCCCCTGTCCCCCCTGTCCCCCCTGTCCCCCCTGTCCTCCCCCTGTCCCCCTCCCCCTGTCCCCCTGTCCCCCTGTCCTCCCCCTGTCCCCCTGTCCCCCCTGTCCCCTGTCCCCCCTGTCCCCCCCCCCTGTCCCCCCCCTGTCCTCCCTGTCCCCCTGTCCCCCCTGTCCCCTGTCCTCCCCCCTGTCCCCCTGTCCCCCCTGTCCCCCTGTCCCCCCCTGTCCCCCCTGTCCTCCCCCTGTCCCCCTGTCCTCCCCCTGTCCTCCCCCTGTCCCCCTGTCCTCCCCCTGTCCCCCCCCCCCTGTCCCCCTGTCCCCCTGTCCCCCTGTCCCCCTGTCCCCCTGTCCCCCTGTCCCCCTGTCCCCTGTCCTCCCCCTGTCCCCCCCCGTCCCCTGTCCCCCTGTCCCCCTGTCCCCTGTCCCTGTCCCCCTGTCCTCCCCCTGTCCCCCTGTCCCCCTGTCCCCCTGTCCCCCTGTCCCCTGTCCCCTGTCCTCCCCCTGTCCCCCTGTCCTCCCCCTGTTCCAGGGGCTGATGTGTGCTGTGTGCAGGTTGTGCGGGGGACCCGGGGCCCCCGAGCTACTGTGGCCCCCCCGGACGCCCAGGCCCCCAGGGAGATCCTGGTCCGGTCGGGTCCCCGGGTCCAGTGGGTCCTGCCGGGTGTAAAGGACAACAGAGCCTCTGCTACGAGGGCCCCAAAGGAGACAGGGGCCCCATGGGATGCCAAGGGCCCCCAGGTGGGATGCTTTAGAGTTTGATCTTTTTCTGTTTGTGACTCAAACTGAAGCCGTGTTTGTGTCCAGGCCCGATCGGCAGTAAGGGCCCCCAGGGGCCCCCGGGGCCCGGCTTTAAGGGAGACAAAGGAGACAAGGGCTGCTCCGGACTGATGGGCAGAGAGGGGCCCCCAGGAACGCCAGGGTCCCCGGGCATACCGGTCAGACACACTTTCTCTCTGACCAATCACTGGCCTTCTCTAAAAAAGGGGCAGGGCCTCGGGCTCTGCTCTTCTGTGATTGGTCTAAATCTGACATTTGTTTCAGGGGCCGGACGGACCCCCAGGGGCCACAGGTCCAAAGGGACAGATGGGCTCCACAGGGGCCCCCGGCCCCCAGGGTGAGAAGCTCTGCTCTGGGTTTACAACAGGAACAATGTACCTGTCTGTAGTACTCTGTAGTACTGTGTAGTACTGTGTAGTACTCTGCAGTACTGTGTAGTACTCTGCAGTACTGTGTAGTACTGTGTAGTACTCTGCAGTAACTGTTGTGTGTGTGACAGGACTCAAGGGAAACTCAGGGCCCCCAGGACCAGACGCTAAACCAGGGCCCCCCGGGCCCCTAGGAGCCAAAGGTCTGACCTCTCCTCTTCTCTTCTTTTCCTCTTCTCTTCTTTTCCTCTTCCTCTTCCTCTCTCCTCTTCATGTGAAGGTTCTTCTCTCTCTTCTTCTTCACTCGTCTTCATCTTCGTCTTCGTCTTTCTTCAGGTGTGAAGGGTCGGTCTCGTCCTGTGGTCCTGGTTCCAGGAGACCCAGGTCCAGACGGAGCTTCAGGAGAAACTGGACCCACCGGAGCGAAGGGAGAACCGGGTCCGACAGGAACTGAGGGTGAGACGTGTGTGTGTGTGTGTCTGTGTGTGTGTGTGTGTCTGTGTGTGTGTGTATGGTTCCTGGTGTGTGTGTGGGGCCTGGTGTGTGTGTATGGTTCCTGGTGTGTGTGTGGGGCCTGGTGTGTGTGTATGGTTCCTGGTGTGTGTGTGGGGCCTGGTGTGTGTGTATGGTTCCTGGTGTGTGTGTGGGGCCTGGTGTGTGTGTGTATGGTTCCTGGTGTGTGTGTGGGGCCTGGTGTGTGTGTATGGTTCCTGGTGTGTGTGTGGGGCCTGGTGTGTGTGTATGGTTCCTGGTGTGTGTGTGGGGCCTGGTGTGTGTGTATGGTTCCTGGTGTGTGTATTGTATAATTCTCTACAGTTTGGTTTTTCTGCTCCTGGCGTCTCCCCAAGAATAAAAGTATTTTCAGGGACGATCTGTTCCCCAGAATGATTCATCTTCTGTGCACAGGTCATGGCTGAAACAGTCGGGTCATGGCTGAAACAGTCGGGTCATGGCTGAAACAGTCAGGTCACGACTAGAGGCTGAACACGGCGACATCGACTGTTTTGTGTCTGTGGCTCCTCCTTCTCACCCAAACATCTCACAGACGCCATTTTGTGTCCTCAGGGGTCAAAGGGCGTAA